ACTGAGCTACCTCCCCAGCCCCCTCTCAATGTATTTTGTACAAGGACTTACTATGTAGCTGGGACTCTTGTGATCCTCCTGTTTTCAGCCTCCCTAGCGTTGGGATTACTGGTGTGCATCACCACACCCAGGCTGGGTCACCCACTCAGCTCTCCTGGGTGGGGGCAGGGCTGGTGTGGCATGCGGTACCATGGATCAAACCAGTCCTTGCTTTACCTAAGTAGGTGCTTAGTCCACTGAGCTATCTTGCTAGCCCTAGTTGCATGTCTTTATACATGCTTAAACTTAATTTTTATTTCCTCTCCTCTGAATTTTCTTGTTTTTAAAATTACATATGTATGTGTGTATATATATTGTTTTTGTTTTTGAGACAAAAATCTTTCTCAGACTGGCCTTGAATTCACTATGTAGCCCAGGGTGGCCTTGAATTTAAAACACTCCTACTGCCTCTGCCTCTGAGTACTCAGATTACAGCCATGCACCACCTTCTCTCAATTTTTTTTTTTTTTTTTTTTTTTTTTTTTTTTTTTTTTTTTTTTTTTTGAGCAGAATATATTTATTACTGCCCTGATTTGAGATTTGGTGATTTTATTTGTTTATTTGTTCATTTTTTTTAGATAGGGTCTCGCTGTGCAGTCCAGGCTGGTCTGGAACTCACAGTGAACCTCCTGTCTCAGCCTCCCACGTGCTGGGATTACAGGCTGGCACCACAGCCTATACTGACTTTTAACTTTGGAGAAGGATCTCCTGAATACAAGACTGACAATCTGTGGTTTCACAACAGAAAGCCAGTTTTGACAGAATCCTACCCTAGGGTTTTTGTAAACAAAATTGACGGGCATACTACTTGGTGTTATAGTATAGGTTTGGGCTTAGTCACTGGCATTTCAGTGACTGCCTATTTTCCCCTATGCATCTGTCCCAAAATTGGTGTTCAATTTCTTATCAACTGACTAGTTTTACCCAAAGTACAGTCATGCAAAAGAGGACTGAAAATAGTTCTGATCATTATTCCTATATATTTTACTTTTATTTATGTATTTTTTATTTTTTGGTGGAACTAGGGATTGAACTCAGGCCCTTGTGCTTGCCAGGCAAGTGCTTGTTCTACTGAGCCATCTCCCTGGTCCCCCTTTTATTTTTAAACAAATTTATGTAAAAGTACTCAACAAGGCACTAGAAATCCATCCCAGTTACATAAGCTATAAATGGTATTTTATGGATAAGTAATACATAAAATAGGGTAAGAAGAAATGGAGAAAAGGGGAGGTTACAGTGTAGGTGGTGACTTTATCTCACAGTAAATCAGCACAGAGGGGAGCAGCGGCTGGGCAGTGCAGGCTGTGGCCGGACCCTGCAGGGCTGTGTTGCTCGGCGACGCCACACTGGAGCTGGACTGTGCCTCGCGGTGGCAGCGACACCAGCTTCCTCGGGGAGCTCTGCAACACAGCTCGCCCAGAGCTGCCGGGTTCACCCGGAGGTGGTCTCCAGTCAGTCTGAGTGAGGATGGACAGAATTTCCAGTGTCTGGCTGGTGCCATGTAACACAGTGTCCTGCAATTCACCCATGTTGTTGTGAATGACAGGATTTTTTAAATCCTTTTTTCCCCTCTCTCTCTTTTTCTTTTTCTTTTATTAGCTACAGATTTCAGCTTTCTATAGAACTTGTTACAAAAGAAGTTGGGTCAGTGGCTGGGGAGATAGCTCAATGGCATAAGCCCTGCTGCCCATACAAAGCCCACATCACCATCAGACCCTTGGGTGCCTCTGCCTCTTTTGGCCCCTGGAGATAGCGTGGGGGACACCCTTCTAGTGTGTACCAACCCTGACAAGGTGGCCGTGGTTCCCATTGGCACTGACCAGGGTCTTTGCAAACAAGCCAGGCCAAAAGAGTTCAGCATTCACAATGGATGCTGTAATGAGGGCCCTGCCCTTATCCTTTGTGAAGGTCACCTCTGGTGGTGCAGGACAAGCACAGAGTCAGTTCCAGTGTGCATGCTGCTGGGCACGGTGCAGACACGGTGAGGCTCTCTCCAAGTGTGCTCATCCTCTGGTGGAGAGGCCGGTCAAGTCCATGTCTAGGTACCATGGTTGCAGTTCACTCTTTCTTGCATGTCTTATGTCTTCAAGTATCCTCAGTCAAGGCTTGAACCCAGTTTCTCACGTATGTCCTTGCTTTCCTCAAGTCTGTTTCTGTTCACGGAGCTCTGGGTCCTGGTCAGAGGCTCTCAGGACTCAAGGAAAGAGGTGGGAATGTGAGGTCCCAGATGTGCTAGTGTGTGTGTGTGTGTGTGTGTGTGAGAGAGAGAGAGAGAGAGAGACAGAGACAGAGACACAGAGAGAGAGACAGAAAGACAGAGAGAGACAGAGACAGAGAGAGACAGAGAGACAGACAAGCCCACCTGGGCTTGTGCTCTGTTTTGCCCGTGTGCTTGCTTATCTGGAGATGTCCTGGAATGCCTGGTGCTGAGGAAAGGAGTGTTCACCCAAGCTTTTGACAGAGAGCCACCTGTGCACTGCAGATAAGCTTCGGCTGAATGGACAGCTCCCTGAGGCAGGCAGACTCAAGCAATGTGAAGTGCTGGCCACACTGAAGCACATTCTCCTTTCCAAGTGGCATTACATTTGTAGTCAGTGGGCTCTGGATAAAGGAAGGGGATTTTGGAATTAGGTGGGGGAGTCAGGAGGGAAAGACCCCCAAAGCCTAAGAGACAGGAAGATAATGAATTTGAAAAAGAACAGGGAATGTTTGATGGAAAAATCTGGTCAGATGTTGCCACTGAATTGAGATGCCTGTTCTCGCTCACTGTCTTCTGAAGGCTTCCATTTTGGAGCTGGATTTTCCCTTACATTTGGAACGTGTCAGAGTGCTACATGTGAATTCAAGAAGGGCTGTGGCTGCAGCAGAGTCGTCCACACTGCCAGGCTGCGCTTGCGCTCCACACAGCAACGTCCTATCTGCTCCAAGCCACTGTCCCTTACTCCAAGTTGGATGATGATGTGAAGAATGGCTGCTCCTCTGGAGTCCAGGGAAGGGCCTTTTACCAAAGCACAGGGCTTTGACATCAAGCCCAAGAACTTCCTAGGAGAGGAAATATGGAGAGGGGAGGAGAGGACAGAAGGACATGGTAGACAGCCCAACATCTGGACAGTGCCCACCGCCAATGGCAGGACATTATCTGAGGTGTGGTAGAGATGCCACTCCACAGTTAGTTTCTATGAAGGCAGAAAGGGTGTGGCAAGGGAAGTGGAAATGGCTTGGAGTAGGAGATCCAGGTTCTGTCCCTTGATTTGTCACTGACTGGCAATGTCATCTCAAAGATCTCAACCCATACTGTTTGATTCGCCTCTCTGTATAACAAAGGGGTTGGGTTGTAGGGTCTTTCCAGTCCTGAATTCTGAGATTTTAAGGAACTACATTGTCTTTAGTTTGAATAACGAGAACCTACGTGTGTGCCACAGGGTACTTTGATCCACATGTTTTCTGTGCTTGTGGTGGGAATGTACAGAGAGAAAATGAGTGGCTCTACTTCCCGACCTGCAAAGTTGTTAGTAGGTGGGGCCTATTGAAGTTTACCCATGGTGGGGAGTGCTTTATCTGTTGCCTTTGTGGGTGCTTCTGTCTCTCACTCTTCACAGTAGTTGAACTACACACTCCAGTATGCACCTACAACCCCCTATAGCGCCAGTCTTAAAAATGAGCTCTGAATAGAATATCTTAAATTGCACTTTTTAAAAAAAATTATTTGTGTGTGTGTGTGTGTGTGTGTGTGACCAGCTCAGCCCACCAGGGGGCGGGGTTGGCTGGCATGTGGTGCCAGGGGATCGAACCGTGGTCCCTGTGCTTTGCTAAGTTTGTTCTAAGTAGGTGCTTTAGACCACTGAGCCATCTCGCCAGCCCCTTAAATTGCACTTTTGTGCCTCACTTTTGTTTTCTCTTATTCCCTTTGGTCCTTTTCCTTATTGTTTTTATCTCAGGAAAAGCTCCCTCTCAGAACTTTCAGATACAAAGGGCAGAAATGAAGAAGATGCATGTCCAGGTTGAGCTGGTCTCAGGGGAGCGTGTCTTAAGCTTTTCTCTGTTTATGTATGTGCTCTGTGAATTAGCTGTCTGGCCAGGGGCTTGAAGTTCTAGAGCTTGCCTTGTTTCAGCGGCCTACTGCTGCCTCGGCCACAGTGTACAGTTTTTGAAGAAGGCAGGGAGCTCAACGGGTGATGCACAGGTACAGCCACCTGACGTACACCTGGGGGCAGAATAACCACACGGAGCGCTGGTTTAACAGTGTTTTCCCCCTCAGCACCCTGAAGCTGTCGTCCTGTCCTTCGCTCTCACTGGCTCCGAGAAATCTGCCCTCAACCTACATGCCCTTCTATTGTAAGTAAACTGTACTTTCCCTTTGTGAAAAGACTTTTTTTCTCTTTGTCTCTGGTGTTCTGCAGCTTCTCTATGATGTTGCTAAGTATAGTTTTATTTCTATTTATGCTATTTAGGACTCAAGTTTCTTCAATCTGAAGATTTATGCCTTTCTTCAGGGATGCATAAAAAAGTTAATATTGCGCAACCATCAAAATGGCAAAAATAAAAACAATTATCAAGTGTTGACAAGATGTAAGAAAAAATTCTCATAGGCCATTGCTGAGAAGCTATAAACTGTCCCAACACCTGTGGAGTGCAAGCTGGAGACACTAGCAAGGCAGAATACTATATAATCTATAATCAAGCAATTACCATGTTAGAAATCAGCCTCAAGAAAATCTATAAAGGAGATATACAAGGATTTCATCACTGAATCATTTGAAATTGGAGGGGAGAGAGTTAGCCAGAAGTCTACCAACAGGAGAGTAAGTGGATCAGTTGTAAAGTCAGCAGTTGAAATCAATGGATTAAATGTACTCATATTAAATAGATAAATTTGGACAAGAAATGAGAAATACAAAAAGCAAATAGCAGAAGTCAAGTGCCAAATGATATATAAATATCAACAACCCATAGAGCAATATTGCGTATTGCCCAGTAAGCAGAAGGCATAAAGTCTCACACTTACTCTCTACTGGAGCAGAATAAAAAAAGATGAGAAAATAAAAGGGTATCCACAAATGTATCATCTTGGAAATAAAAAAATTATGGAAATAATTCCTGGTTTGAAGAAATAACCCAAACTAAACACTGCATAGCAATGGTTAGCAGTATTAGGCCGAAGCATATTTAGAGGAGCAGGTGGGAACCGATGAAAGGCCTGGGACGTGTCCGTGGTCACATTACAGGAGTGCTTTGGATCAGCTTTGTACCTGGCTTTTGACTGGCTCATGATGGTTTCTGACATGAGGGGACAGGGAAGGAAGTGGAACATATGCAGGAATCAGAGGAGGACAATAGGATGTTGTAGAATGTGGAGGAATGTAAAACAAAGAGCGATGCGGTAGAGGACACTCAGGGATGGGACAGAGAAAAGCAGCAGAAGCAGTCTTGTGCGGGCGGCTCATGTGGCCAATGCAGGTGATGTCCAAAGCTCCAAAAGGCCACTGCTCTGTGTCCTTCAGTGAGCATAGCCAGACCTGGCCAGGCATAAAGCAAGTGCAATCTCTGGGGCCATGCCAGAGGTCGTTGTGTTCAAGGTACAGGCTGGGATGAGCGGAGGTTCCAGAGAGCAGGGATGAAGAAGGATCAGCTCGGAAGTCAAGGCCCTCACAAAGAGGGGTCAGTCCCAGTTCTGTCTCAGGAGAGTGGAGGGCAAGGCCAGAGGGCCCCAGCTTCCTCCTGTAGGAACACCACAGCTCCATAGAAGGGCCAATGAAAAGGCAAGGGAATTTGTTACGGAAACTTCATCTAGAAATGTTTCTCTTGCCTAAACTCAGGTGCTAAATGAACAACAAAGGGCAACCCCACTGTGAACAGTTTCTACTGGGAGATGGTTGAAGGCATTACATCCCTAAGAACACCACCTGGCCAAGTGGGGATGGGGTGGGAAGACACAGCAGAACCCTGGTGCAGGAGGCAAATTCCTGGCCCAGCCCCACCCAGACCAGGAAGGAAGCTCGTCATGCCTTCGGCCTCTTTTGGTTTTGGCCACGCCAGGCCTTGTTCTCAGAGCTTGACTTTGAGGTCATCCAAGCTCATCACCGAATGGATGGGGGAAGCATGGTGTGTATTAACTCACACAAAAGTTGGCTGTTAGCCCAGTAATGTTAATAACCAGAAATTACTGAATTCTGTTTGTCTGTTATAGAAATAAAAACTTTGGGGGATGGATGAACATCTCTGGAAATTACTTAAAACTGTGGATAGCTGAATGTAAAGTGCTCTAGACACTGAACTAAAATGTACTGTAATCCAATTATATTTTTATCTTTTAAAGATTTGTCCTAGGGAACCCTAGGTGGTAAATTCTATAGAGATTACCTAAAGTTCCAAGATCTAGCTAGCTAAGTAAGTTCTTTTCGTTTTTAAAGAAAAACTTTTTTAATTAAAATTTTAAAAATATTTTATTTATTTATTTGGTACAGGGTCTCACTCTACAGGTCAGACCTGTAGTGATCCTCCCCAGTTCTGGGCTTACAGGCATGCACCATCACACCTGACTTTGGAGGCAGGTTTGGCACGGGGCCAGCACAGCATGTAGCACTGGGAATTAAACCCGGGTCCTTTGACTTGCCTTTAGACTGTGGAGCTATCACCCCACCCTTATGCAAGTTCTTAAGTGGAAATTCACAGCCATAGCACTTGGTGCATGGCAGTCATGTTCTGACATTTTTAATGGTTGGGGGAAGACTGAGTTGTACACCCAGAGTCATCCTGTTGGATCTCAACCTTGGGGTCCCTAGGCAGAAAGTCCTGATTGATGGGGTTTGCTGATTTCCGTGGTGTAAGTGTTTTCACTGTGCCAACTGCTGGCTGTGAATGTGGTATCTCTGAGCACACTGCTGCTTGCTAGTCAGCATGGGCCAGCTCATGGAACCCACTGCACACCATGGGCGCCACTAAACCTGAGCTCTGTAAATGTGCAAAGGCCCTAGTAGAAGAAAACTCAAAATAACTCAAGTTAGGAGCACAGGTGGGGGCTTTGAGACAGGGTCTGGCTAAGTAGTACAGGCTGGCCTTGAACTCACTATGTAGCCCAGGCTGGCCTTGAAGTTGCAGCAATCTTTTTGCCTCAGCCTCCCAAGTGCGGGGCTTGCAGGTGCACACCACTATACCTGGCTTTAAAACTACTTTTTAAGCATACAGGAATCTAAGTATCACACTGAGTATTCTGAACTCTTGGTTCCACTGGGATTCCCCTTGATGAAGGCCGGGCCTGCTTTCCCTTCATGCATTGGTGCTGTGGTGATGCTCCCGTGGGGAGAACCCACTGGCCCCACACTGGAAGCCACTTTCAAGATGCTGAGCTGGTGATCACGAAGGAAGAGAGGATGTGAAGTAGAAACTGAAATTGAGGCCTGTGGCATGGAGTTCTTATGGTTGTGAACATTGATGAGAAGAAGAAAGTTGGCCAAAAGATGAAAGGGTCACTGCTTTTTAATTAGAGGAAGACAAAAGGACTTGCTGCCGTAGAGGCGAGTGGCAAGTGTCAGTAGCGATTGTGGGCACTTTCCCAAAGAGGCTTCTCCTGTCCTGACCCCACAGTGAGTTGAGCTGCTGGACATCGCCGCTGTGGTCCTGCTACACTAACGTCTGAACGCAGAATAAGCTGTCTGTGGCCCTGGTGTGAGTCTCTGATGAAAGGAACCGATGCCCTGTGGGAGGGTAGCTGACTCCCTATTTCGGGGCAGGGAAAGAAATTAGAATCAGGCTGTGAATGGCAGCGTTAGAAGAAAGCAGCTCATGCTGGGCGTCGCAGCATCACAAGCCCACCGTGTGCACAAGCGCGAGGGCTCACCCGAGAAATGCACGCAAGTGTCTGAAAGGCTGCACGCTGATCACTCCGGCGAGGGATGCCCTTACGCTTCGGTGGCTATTTTCAAACGCAGATTTTGTCTTTTCTGTAAGAAGAAGAACTGAGAAGCATAACAGAATCGGACAGGGGCACCCAGGAGGTTTCCAAGAGTCCAGAGACCTCTGAAAGGTGATTTCCTTGCTAGAAAAGGAGTCAAGCAGATTGGAGAGCCAGGGTTTCAGTGGTGTCAAGGACAGCCTGGAATTGCCTCTTGTCTTCTCTTGCAGCATGAGTGGCACGCTTTCCGTGGCACTTCCACAGCGGGTGCAGTGTGCCCCCACATGACGTGGGCTGCGCTGGCTGCCACCGCCTGCAGCCCTGCTCCATGTCCTCGTGCTGTTCTCAGCTGCCTGTCCACCACGACTTGCTTTGGGAGGGGTGCTGCCTCCCTGTTCTATGCTGTGATTACCATGCGTCTCTCTGTCTCAATGACAAGAGAATGAATTTCTCCCCCGTGTGTGTGTGCGGGGGGTCCCCTGCCTCTGCAATGGGAGCAGATCCTGCAGAGCTCAGAAAATGTGTAGTGGCCAGCAATAAACTGAGAACACAGAGCGAGCAACATCAAACAGGAAAGTGTGCTGGGGAGAGCCAAAATTAGGTGAGAAGGTCAAAGGGTAACAGCTGTGTGGGCCAGGCCTCTCAGAGGCTGAGGCAGGGGGACCCTGTAGTCAAGTCTAACTTGGGCAACTTAGTGAGATCTGGTCTCAAAATACAAAATAGAAGCACTAGGGATGTATTTCACTGTGAAGGGTCTGGGGTTCAATTCTCAGCACTGGGGTGGGGTGGGGGAGGAAAGGAGGAAGGTAGAGGGGAAATAGGTCATAACAATATAAAGCTCACATTTATAAATCTAAGAAGAGTTTTAAAATTAAGAAAATACAGGAAACAAGCGACAAAAAGTAAAGCGATGAGAGGTAAGTTTGACCATGACTATATGAAAAAAAAAAATGCTTTCATTAAAAACAACCAGAAGTACAAACATTGAGGTGAAAGACAGATTAATAAAATGTCTGTTGATGTTTGCATGAACTAAATGTATGAAAAAAGTGAAAATGCTCAGTTCAATACTGTTATTGGCTATAATCACATCTGATTGTTTGCAGAATCTGTGTCTTGCACATATACTGTGGCTACATTGGAAAAAACCAACCAACACAGTTCATCACCCTCAAAGGGCAGCATAGCGCCTGGTGGTGTGCAGGGCAGGGCAGATCGGTGTGGAGGAGAGGTGGGCGTGTCTGTGCGCAGAGCCGCAGGTCCTGAAGGCCTCTGGGTGGCCAGTGTCCCACTGTCCACACTGCACCTGCCTGCTGAGCCGCCTTGGGTGCCACTTGAGATCACCCCTTGGGGCTCTGAGTTGAACTGGACTTGTGCTGACTGAGACAGTCAGGTGCTCTGGACAAACTGCCTTGTCCCTAATTGCAAAGGCAGTGTGTGGCCCCAGAGAGAGAGCCTGGTGACTCCCAGCAGGGGAGCACCCTCCTCTCTGGCTCCTGAAGTCACTGAGCAGCGTGTGGGGTTGGGAGACCCGCTCTGGACACTGCTGAGAGCCCATGGGCAGGAGGACAAGTGCAGGAACACAGGTGACACGGAGGGGCCTGGGTCCCACTCCCTGCCTTTCTGGTTGCGGATAGCGCTTGGAGGGCAGGAAAGGCAGGCACCAGAAGAGCTTGCAGGATGTCTTGGGAAGTCCAAGTTCCTCCACTGGAAGGTTGGGTGTTGGGAAAGACTCACAGGCTCCAGCTACAAAGAAAGACACATGGACACTTAATACAAGCTAAGCGAGGGCTGGAGCAAAAAGGCTGCTGCCTGCCGTTGGTCTTTATTTTGATATATATTGAGTCTCAGCCTTCGGGTTACTTTAGGTGAACATAACAAGATCCCATCATGTGTGTCCAAGATTAATGTTTAGGCTATAGTTTATGTGAGAACCTGCTAGGCATCTGGGAACAAGGACACAAAGGGCCGGAGAGATAGCTCAGTAGAATAAGTGCCTGCCTAGCAAGTGCAAGGTACTGAGTGCAATGCCTGGTACCAGAAACAAACAAACAAACAACAAAGACAGGGTGTCCTTGAGTCCGAAGTGTTCTTGGTTCCTCTCTCAGCTGTTGCTGCCCTGTTTTCTTTTCCTCAGTCCCACATACTCTGCAGGCTATTTAGCACATCTCTGTGTTAATTCTTTCTTATCCCAACAGTTGGGGATGTGAAGTCAGATAGACTGTCTAGTTTCTGTGGTCACTGGCTGATGAGTCCATGGGAGAATATCCTTCCACGTGCAAGTCCCTCCAGCCTGCCACCCACGCGTCCCCTCCAGCACTGCCTTGTCACTCAGGCCTAACTGCATTCTGCATGCTCTCCAATGCCCGCTGCTTCGGCCTGCCCTTTCCGTGGCTGCTGCCCTCACCCCTTCCTGCTTGCTCTCCTGTTGGTCCTGGGCACTGGCTACCAGCACAGGAATCCAGGTTGTCTCCTGCTTGAGGCTTTGGCGAATTCTGATCCTTCAGGGCCCCATCCCAAGATAAAGCCTCACACTCACCCACCCTCTTGCCCTGGGGCCAGATCTCCCTGGTTTCTTATTTTGTGAGTTAATTATTCACAGACATCAGCTTCATTCCCAGTGTATCTGTTGGTTTTCATGAGAACAGGTGTGATTTTTGGAGAGAGAAGTGTCCCCAACAGTGCCATGTGGGTCTGTGATAGAGTGAAGGTTGTGAAAAGAGTTAGATCTCAGAAGGGCCACAGGCTCTAGCATGTCTGCTTACAAGGCACTGACTCCAGAGAGGCGAGGCCTTGAGCGTGCACAGAAGTGGTGCTGGCAGCCACCCTTCACTTCCTGGAGTCCAGGAAGCCTCCTGCCCTAAGGAACAGTGTTGCAGGGGTGTGAGCACAGATGTGGTTGGCAAGAGGCATCAGGAAGTCATGCGGAGGCTGCCGCGAGAGTCTGGGT